GCTGCAGCCGGTGCCGCCGTGTAAATATTGATTCGAGCACTTGTTGCTCAGGTGGGCTGCGACTTCGACCTATGCTTTTACAAGACTTACTGGATTTCAAGCTTATATTGATCCAACATTGACTTGCCTCGTTAATTTGGTTACAATAATATTAATTAAAATAGCTATAAATACTTACTAGTAATCTTGTGTAAACAGCTGTTGCACAAATTGGCCGTCTCATCCTTCGCAATACCATGACCACATAGAATAAAGGCGTGAAGTGGTCGCAATTCCGTATTTCGACAGATGCTTGCTTGAGGCCTAATTTCAGTCTTCTTTGTTATAAAGAAAGGGTGGGACGGGAAAGTGAATTTAACGTAGGATGGAACGCATAGGAAGGAATAATATCGTCTTTCTTTACATCCTGCTCTGCGTCTAGTAAAGGTACAAATCGCATCTGATATCGCGCATGATATAAGCAGCGGTTACTTCGCTATTTCGGCGAATACAACTGGTCGCTTACTCGTTTGCCACATTATTTCCTCACACCAATATTCATTTAATTCATTCCATTTATCTCATATTCTATCGATCTTAGGTTGTTTGCACTGACTATAGTAAGTATTGTTTGTTGCAGCGTGGGTGCTGGGCTGGCTGATGTGTAAGACAGTGCCGTACGTGCAGGGTCTGTCTGTCGCCGCCTCCGTCTACAGCCTAGTCGCCGTCTCACTTGACAGGTAAGTTCACGATATATAAATCTAGCATTATATTCCCCTTTTAAAATAGTCTAGCGAAGGAATTAGTAGCCTGTATTTCCCTAAGTATACTAATTTCTAATTACTTCTAGAAAAAGAATCGCCACGTTAGAAAAACTGAAAGCAATTACGCAATTGACTAAGTACCAGCTGATTGATGATCGAAAAACAAGATTCATAGTCACTAGTTCAACTAATACTGTAATACAGTTAACTCGCATTGATTTCAGAGCTTTGTTTTCTACAAACAGTTGCTATCTCCGTAGAATAATCCTATATAATTGATAGAGCGGCAGCGGGACTATTAATTAAGATGTGTATCTCAAGGTCTCGGCCATTGACAAAATTTATCTTGCTCAGATACCACGTTGCGTAAGCTATTGTATACGGCTTGATATCGACAATTATGCAGGTCAGACACGGTAGTTTTTGCATGACGGTTTTAATATAAACATTACTCGAACGAGTGTGATATTTTACAGATATGTGTAATAAAGCTAGGTGTAGTTTATGCGTGTATTTCAAAATGGATGTTTCAAACATAACGTGTGTGGTCTGCATTATGCTACAGCAAGTTTCGTAACTCTACTGTTTTCTATGTATACAGCGTAGGCTGTGCGTAGAGTATTGGTACAGTATTGGTTTGACAGGTCATCAATATCCAAGTTTCTAACTTATGGTTTGTTTCATGACTTTTTGAAGCTCTATTACTCATTTATTAAGTTGTTATAATAGTTCAATTGTATGTTAGAAGAGTATTAAAAGTGTTCTTTGGTTTACGTGTTCGATTTAAAATTTGCTAACAACCCATGTCGTTGAATTTGATCCCTAAAATTGATCTCTCGAATTAATTTGGAATGTACTATAAATGATGTGAAAAAGATCTTGAGGCCGGAATACCTGGTCCCTTGCCTTGACCCACTAGTGATGGGGCCCATTGGTAACGGCGGCATTATGCGCCGCGGTGGCCGCAAATCAAGGACTCGCGTGCCAAAAATTTATCAGCGAGATTCCGGAAAAAATGTTTGGTGCTTTTGATTGATCGACTTATAAAGACTTCTTGCTATGGGAAGATGTTTTATGTTTTTTCCTGATATCAAAAGTATGTTACGAAATAACGCTACGATGTTATATGAGTTACGTCTCAGAAATATAAATCCAAATGGTTTTTAGGATGCTTTTTACTTGAATAGTTACGTTAGTTAGTTATGCAGTTTTTAATTCTTTGTAAGTTTTTTGACTTTTTTTCTAAGCGTTTTTTTGTTATTTCGATATTATAAGAAAATAGCGCTGAGCCTTAACATTTTTTTTTACAAATTTAATTCTTGTTTTACATTTAAAATTATGTTTGAAGAACTCTAAAAATGTTCACTTGTATTTTTAACCCCATCATAAAGTCGACCTTTTGAATATTTTTACATTTTAAAGTAAATTTGTTATTCAACGACAAATATTCACACGCAAATGCTTTAGTCGCAATACCTGACCTTTGAAGATCTTCACTCGTTATATTTTATTCACTTTTAAGTCGACATTGAAGTTTTTATGCGTCTAAGTATCATACACACGTTAAAACATACAATTTTTGTTTCACAAAAGGGTTTTTATAACTGCCATTAATCGACTAATTTCGTTAGGCCTTGTTTTAGCGCCTACTTTTCTAAAACGAGCAACAACTTGCAAATGCTACTTATGTTGCTATTTAATTTCGCTTTATTTTTTACTGAAGCTAAATTGCAAACCAATCAACCATTTAATGTAATATTTATATATCGCGAATAATTTATAGTAGTCAATATTTTGTAAATTTATGGGATTCACTATTAGATTTTTATTATACACAATATTTATTTTTTATTCTTAATATTAACGTGTGCAAGCTATAAAGTAATACACGTGCTCCTATTTACGAAGCAGCCGTATAATATAGGAAAGCGTGATGTATGTAGGAGACGCGAGTGCCATCAGTCAAGGCAGACAAAGCGCGGCCTTGACTGCGCGGGGCGCCCTCAATCTCCGCAAGAACCTTTCCTATTCATCAACATCCAACATATGTGACATGTCTGTGATGTTTTTAACTTTTTAAGAAAGGATAGGGGGAACATTTCCTTTTCTGTATCCTCAACTTAACTTAATACATATGTCTATACCAATTATTTATTTTACGATTACTGATGGCCGCTTGCCTGTTTACCATTTTTTTTTAAAAAATACTGTTTAAATTGCAACTTCAATAATAATAAAGAAGTATAATTTCTTAAATTAGAAACCTAAAAAAAAACATTTAAAAAAAAATATTTGTCTGTCTGCCAGTGTTACAAGGTCAGGAGCTTAATAATTTGAAGTTGAGACAGAAATCGAAAGAAAATAACTTTCGGGTCAAATAGAAGTAAAATGTCACAAAAACTTTTTGTGCGTAAGTTAAGAGTTAAGCTTCGATATCCAAGCACTTCTTAAACTTGTCACAAGTAGAATAAAGTGGGACCGTTAGGATTTCGGCACGTATCGTACCGATTTTAATTCAAGGTCATATTTGAAATAAACATTGAGTAAATTGTATAGAAAGTTATTGTTATAAAATTACAAAAATTTCTATCAGTAACTTCAAGTGAGTTTTAGGTGTAATTAAAAGTCATTATTAGCAAAAAATATTTCCGATGTCTCTATAATTCTTACTAATGTCATTATTCATACATCTATCCAAACTTTCGCGTTTATCATATCAGAAAGATTAACTATAAAGTTTACCAACAAGCTAATTCAAGGTCCATGCGTAACATACCCCTGAATGTCACCCCCAAGGGATGATTACCGTAACAAGTTGGAAGCATGTTGATTAATACGTCACCGCAACTTGCCGACTCGAAAACTTACAGCCGTCGTTGGAACAATAACAAGTAGAAACCTTCAATAACATTATAATACTGTTTTGTGCAAAACAGACAAATTTATTATGCTTGCACGTCATATTTTTTACCTTGTTTTGACGTAACTTGGATATGAAACAAATCATGTTTGTCTCACGTAAGCATTTTTTGTCTTGTCTAGGTCACGTATGGAAGAAAATTAGATGACTAGAAAGATGTGTTTTCTTTATTTTTACTTTAAATAAAAGCAATAAATAGGTTTGATTCATTGCAAGCAATTATATTTTTTTCCTTCTGATGTCTTATTAAAAAATAAAAGATTCCGTAGTACCTAGTTAAACTTTTAAATAAACAAAACGTCAAAGTCTAAAAGCTAAATTTTAACTTTACAAAATACAGATGAGAATGACATCTGACGTCACCGAAGACGTTAAACGGACCCTTAAGGGTAAGTGAAGGAGCGTGGAAACGGCGTCTTCAAACGTCGGTCGGTTAAGTTTGACAAGGAGCGAAGTTCTTAACTATCAAGGACGATCCGATCCGGAAAGCGGGAGAGTTGTAACAAAAAGCCCATTACGACGATAGGCTGCACTCCCGGCACCTATTACTGCCCACCCCTTGGTAATTATCCTTGAAGATACGCTTTATTTTAATACTATGGTATGGCAGGACCCTTGTTTATGTTCGGTTTCCGTTAATCCTGCGAGCGCCGAGGACGGAAGTGATCGTTTACGTTAATGTTGCAAATATTTGAGAGCTGCGTTTAGTTCAATGTCAAACAAGTCCCCACGTATAGGATCAAGGACTAGGGAGTTATGAGCTATTAATAAGTACTCGAAACCTTGGGTTTAATTTAAATATCTATAATTTTGTAAACAGAAACACTTTTCCAGCGCTACCTTGTCTATGAATTATTAAATTTATGGCTTATTTTAGAGGCGATAAAGAAATTAAATATTTAACTCTGGATAATTAAAGTGATAAAATATTAGGAGTTTTTCTCGTCTAGTTCGTTGTCTTGAATTAAAACGACTTTATGTTATAAATATAAATATTTATTTAAATGCATCTCTGTAAGATTAATGATGTACGGCTATGATTGGTGCGTGCTTCACGATGGGTACGATGGGCGCAGCGTGAACCACCGGGGCGTGGACGATGGGTGCATGGTGCACCACTGGGTGCACGACTGGGTGCACTGAGTGGACCGAGTGCACCACGGGGTGGGTCACGACTGGGTGCACGACCGGCGCGATGATACCAGCTTGGGTGTAAGCGATGAAAGCGAGCAGGATTGTCTGAAAATAAAAAGGTTGTCAAATACCATAAAAAAAGTTTAATATAGTCATATGTACTAAGCACTTAATACTAACATGGATGTTAATGACTCAATCAATAAATAAGGAATTATGTAAATGACGAGCAGATGGCTCTTCGCCTTGCACTTTTTGCTGTTAGCTCGTATTCAATCATACTGTGGGAATTAAAAGTGTAGCTTATTGACCTTTGTCGTCGACATATTTGTAATTGCGCTTAGCAAACTTTTTTTTTAATCTATAGTGCATCTTATTGAATAGACGACAGATACAAGTAATACCGAAGTAAGTAGAACCAAAAGTGACAAAGAAAAATCTTCAAAAAATGGAAATTTTAAATGTGACAAATTACTAATGTTCTTTACCTTACATGACCGGAAGTATTAGTAACTAGTTATATTATTTTTCAAGTCAAAAGAACATATCTAAACTATCTATTTGAAAAGGAAATAAAAACAAGAGTTTGTTATAAAACTAAATTGGTATAGGCAGGATCTCATGTATTTTTCTAGTAAACCTAAATTATTGAAGTAAGCTGGTTACTAGGATATTGATGTAACTGCATAGTTCAATTTGTATATGAGCTTTTGGTACATTTAAATTTAAATTAAAAATCACTTACCAGCTTGAACATCTTGTTTGTTTAATTGTGTGGTTGTTTGTAAGAATGTCTTGAGACTGTACAATCATCGTCTAGATGTAGCCCTTTTATAGGTCCGAGTGTGGTCTAAGGCTGCACACACGCGGATGTTTGGTAACATGCAACTTGAGCGCAGACACATGTAACACAATCCCTTGTGTACTGCGAAATTGTGCACAGTTTCTTCTAGTAATAGGATTAAAAGAAATTTTAACTTACATCTTTATTATAACGTTGTTAAATGACGAAACTTATGCTAAAATTCCTATTTTAGATTTAAGATAATTGAAGAATTTTGTTAGGTAAACAGACAATTTTGAGACAGAATTGAAAGTACGCATTATGTGTCTTAGAAAGAACATTAAAAAAAAAAGATACAACTAAATAATACCATTAAAAAACGGGGATGTGACGTGATTTTGCTATTTCTTTTTGTCCTACATGTTTTCTATAGGCTGTAATCTAATTGGTTTAAAACAATTTTTATTACAGTAGGTAAATCTACCGGTATTATTTCCGCAATGTTTTGTATATGGCAACAACCGGAAGTACGAATCGTGGAAATCCGTCGGAAGTATTTGTGCATTGTTCTATTATAGCTTACTAAGTCTTAATAAAATGTACCAAAGTAAAGTACGTAAAAGCATACCATTATTTTGTTTTAACGCAAGTTTAGCTTATGTTTGAATGGAACACGATATCCTATAATATTCTATTATACTAGTACATATATCATTTTAGACTTAAACGATTTTTAGTACATTTCTTTAAAATAAAAAGCATTATTTACTCAACACATTGCCGCAGCGAGGAAGTGACATTGATATTAATGTTGTGAAGTAATCGGAAGGCGGGCTGACTGCAGATTGTAGCCAGATAACTGATAATGTAATTGTTATTGTCTACTTTACAAAACGGTTACATTTAATTAAATTATATCCGTGCAGAAATACAACTGGGTTCCGTATATTTTTTTTCCTTTTTACATATACACTACGTTGTGTAAAAAGCTTAACAAATGCTTGTCATTTTAAATCCTATACATAGAGTAGCACCAATAGCCTAATGGTTAGGGGTATGGATACGATCACGTGGTCGTGTGTTCGAATCTCGCCATTTGACTAAGCTGAAATATTAATAAATCAACAAAATGTAGTAATATTTCGAATTGAATAAAAATAAATGTGGAGAATTTTATCTATGACAATTTGTAGCTAACATGCTTTTATTAGAGAAAATTTCCTGATTAGATTGAGTAATTTCACAATTTACAAAAAAGAATAAATGTCATATTTACAAGTGAGAAAAAAGCGTTTTTGCTACAAAGGATCCCTAAGCGGGGTATCTTTGAGGTCCCAGGCTGAGTACATTAATGTTACGCAAAGGTAGGGCTATACCGAGGTCCATTATAACATGTTCATACACACTTTATAATGGACCTCGCAGGATGTCGGCGCCGTGCAGACCTTGTGACATGCAGTGAGGTCCATAGTAAATGTAAAGAAAAAGGTCATTGTCAATTACTATCGACGAGACGTTTAAGATGATATTGTATAAGAATATTATTTAACTACTGTAGTTATCGCTACTATTATAATAAAGCGTGAATACACACTTCTCTGTTACCTAAGATGTCAGCAATTACGGAATATTTTTAAATAATTCTTTTTTTAATTAAATCCCTACACTTATACGTTATTAAACTTAGTTGATAAATGAATTGGATAAAAGTCCTAATGTGTGACAGAGACCATAAGTTGCTGCCAACACTAAGAAAGCAAGATTGCCATAGTAAGGTAATTGGTATTTTGACATATGCAATTGAGAATTTGACAAATATAAACAATAAAATAAAATTTTTATAATTTCATGCGGATGAAGTCGCACGGGAACAGCTAGTTACTTTACAATGGTACAGAATATTGTCTAAATTAACTTCCCTTGACCTTGAACATAAAAGCTTTCTTTCATTTCGTAAAGATGTAAGGCAGATGTCCTCCGCCAGTAGATTTGATTACGATATTACTTTTATATTTTCCAAGATATTGAAGAGATAAGATAAAATTGTAAGTTCTTTTGTATTTAATTTGTTGTTAATGTAAGTGATTTCCTATTGTTGTTTTGATTAAATTTACGGCAAAGGTTGGCTGTAATATTTGTACCCACAGTAATCTTTTATTCCTGCGAACATATTCCATTAAAAATAATAAAGAGCTAAATGTTTCTCTATCTATATTGTTTTTTTCTTGTATTAATTATAGTAAGTAATTATGTATTTATCTGTATTGCGAAGCGTAGCCTAGAAAAGGCAGACCTTTTTGTACAGTTGTGACCTAGACCGAGTATTTTTGCTATTCGACCGCGCGAGAGAACACCTTGATCTTGGTTTCTAACCTGCTGTAGTACTGAGAGAATTTTCACCTACTATTTTATAATTTAATTATTTATGAGGACTAAATACCGATGTGAAATTATCTTTAATGCGATCTTAACAGTATTTTGTTCTAATAAACTGACATATTTCAAACAAAGTTATTGACATAAAGTGACCTAAATAAGTGAGAAATATAAACCACAGTAAACGAATGCAAATTTGATGAGTTAACAACCCTTTTACGACACATCGAGAGTTGCCCTCTACTAGGTATGATGATATATTTCAATAAAATATCATTTTGTACTTAAACTTTGTACCATTTATCTTATTCAATGTTTTTACTCGATTAGTTTACCATAATAACTGTATAAATTTACGTAGAATTATTTCACAATCGTATTTTTATAATTTCATCACAGCTTAGCCTTGGCAAAGAAAAAACGTCTTCTATTTTATCTATTTTTCCTCTATTTTTTCTGTCATATCCATATCCTTCCCGTTGTTTATATAGCCTTTGTTTCGAAGTTAGCAGTAGTTTCGAAACCTTTACAATGCAAACAATCAGATCTTTTTTCTATATAATTACAATTTTTTTTTCAGTCTTTAATATTCGTAGAAACTTTAATATTGAAATTTACATATAAAATATTCAAAATAACCGATAGAGTTTAGAGAAAATTCGTTGAAAATGTCTTATAAATTTTCTTGTTTATCAGAAATCAACAAAAGCCTTTCAGCCTATACTGATCGTTTCTAGTGAGATCGTTAAGGCTTATCGCCGAACCAGGGTCAATGACCCCCTTACAATAGAGCTGGACAAATATGTTTTGTGTTCGGACCACTTGTTATATTCTGACACTTTTAATGTTTGTATAATAAACGCATCTATACTATTATAATAAAGTGTAAACACACACTTCTTTGTTGCCAAAGATATCAGCAATTACAACATATTTTTGAAAAAATCTTTTTTTTAATAAAAATTCCTACACTTACGTCACGCTTTAGGCTATATGTTTTCACGCCATACTTAAAGGATAAATATTTTGGATAAAAACCCTAATGTGGGAAAGATACATAGGTTTGTAAAGTAATGTCATTTTGACATTTGCAATTTGACAAATGTAAACAATAAAATAAAATTTTCATAATTTCATGCGGATAAAGCCGCACGGGAACAGCTAGTCATATATATTTTTGACATTGACTAAGAAAATAGAAATTGATGTCCTTTTCGTCTATTAATGAATGGATTTAGAATTTCAATAAAGACATTCTATTACGTGTGAGTACATTATTTGAATGTGTACCTCAGTCACGTGCGAATTAATTAAAACAAGGGAATGTAGCTTTGAAGGAAAGGTATTGAATAGTTGACCCTTTCATTGTCAGGGCTAACGAGTTAGCTAATGATTTTCAATCTTTAGAGAATTTTAGATTTATTGTTTGCTAATTGCTCCAATGGTAAGTGATGGATAAGGGTAATTAAATAATTACTTTATAATAAAATTGTGATCATTTTCTTTAATTTGATTACCGCAAAAGTTACATTAACTTATGTTTTTGTGAATTAAATAAGTAACGATTTGATTTATTCATTAAATAAGTTTTACTATACGTTTCTACATTTTACAGTTCACTTTAGAGTTTCTTAAAGTATTAAAAAATAAATAAAAATCGAACAACAACATTCATTATAAATATTAACCGAATAAATTATAAAGCATTCTAAATCTATAGAAGAAAGGTGGAGGAGATGGTTCTACCGGCGCTGGTCGCATTGCCAGCAAACCGTAGTATGGGTATAACATGTAGTAAGGCAGTACAGTCGGCGCGGGCGTTTCCGGTTTTTTCTTCTCTTCCGGTTTCGCGGTCATGAAGGCTTGGATGAAGGCGTGTATGGGAGACTCAGTCTTATGTTCTGGTTCTTTTTTAGTAATTTGTTCTAATTTAATAGGTTCAGATGTGTAGATGGTTATAGGTTTTGATGTTGTCTGTGGGAACGGTAGAGCGAGACACATTATCAACTGAAAAAAAACAATAAAAAAAGTTAAACTTGTTTGTTAGAACTTATTGGTAATGCTAGTTTTTATCCTGACTTTGTTATCAAGCTATGAGAATACGATTGGCTACTTTCTATATGTATAAGGAAGTTGCAATCAGCGTATCCGTTCGTATCCAGCATCTGATCGTATAATCCATTTCTATCTGGCAGCTAATAACTCGTCGCTGGACAAATATTAGTTCTGGCTGACACAAGATTCCGGGGGTCAATAACCTGCTTAGAAAGAAACAAACCGTTGCCAATTTATGTGTTTTATGAAAACGTATTGATTTCTTCTGTTCGTACAATGTTTTAAACAATAAATTGGTTGAAAACATAAAATGGTATGGCAAACGTTTAACAACGTGTACACTGAGTACTACAGATTCTAAATATATTCTCCAAAACTCAATTTATTGTACAATAATAAAAAATACTTACAATTAATAAGCAATAATCCATCTTGAATAACAATTTCTTTCCGAGTGACTTATCTGACTTCCCATAGACCTTTATAACCGTACATAAGATGGAGATGGTTTCCATCGTCATAAAAAGGACAATAGATTACAACATCTGTACGGAAAAACCTGAAGTTAATTTAGTAATAAGGAAATATGAATAATTCAGAAACTGAGAAAGTTACGATAGCATAGCGTAAAATGGTAATTAATTTTTTACAGTCTTTAAGTAATTTTTTACTTCATTTTGTACAAAAACCTTACATACATATTTGCTTTTTATTTGTAAGGCTGTTAATGGTTACTCAAATAATAACTTAGTGTTAGACCAAAATAATAACTTATTTTGGTCTTAAAATACTTAATTGACAGTATAAATGAAATTAAATTAGTCTTTAAAAGCACTTTTGTTGTAGAAAGGAATTAATCAAAATGTAGCAAATAGACATTAAATACCGCAATGCTCCGGCCGCTGTCTTCCCCTTAATTGACTCTACCAACTTTTCATATTACATTAGAGTGGAATCTTCAAGTGAATTATCTTAGAGTAAATAAATTCACTCGCAAACGAATCATCTTAATTAAAGTTATTAATTACTATATTTATGTCTGTGAATATGTCGACTGATTTAAAAGTTTTGTTTTATCTTCAGTATCTGTTATTTAACAAAATGTTTGAAGTACTTAATTAAAATAAGTGCACAAAGATTTTTTTAATCATGGATGTTCCGTGTTGCTGTGATTAATTTGGCAGGCGCTATCTCAATGCATATGATTATATCGCTTTGAATTAACTTCGATTTACTGATCGCGCCTGTTGAAGCTAATGGCAATTGTTTTCATCTCTATAATAAGTTCGAAGTTTACCGCCTTTTTATTATAATTACCGATGCAAATCGTAACCATCTACGCCAAAATGAAGATAACACCAGGTCTATCTTCTGTCCATTTATAGATGTCACTGATTCTAGTAAAAAACAAAACAAGGAAATCAAGATTTAATCAATATACCGAAGATTTAAAATTCAAATATCAATTTACTGACTTTTCACAGTAAATTCAAATTGTATGACATCTTTGAGGTATTTAAAGCCTATGAAACGATGTTAGGATATTTCAGAATAACATGTTTAGTTTTCAGACATCAGATTGCTTCTATTGTCTGATTTAAACAATTCCCTACAGACTTGTGAATTAGTTATTCTGAGACAGTAAGGTCAGGAGTGACACAGGCTGGGCTCGAGCGGGTTCATTAATTAACCCTAAGCAAGACAGATCGCGACAGTGGCGCCCCCAAATACTATGATATGATTATTGCCACAGGCGCTACACTGATTTAAACACGTTAAGATAATTAATGAAATAAATAGAAGAATAGAAACAGTAATAGTTTTATCTACATAATATTTAATTGTCATATTTTGTTGATGTTTCATATAAAATATTCATGTTTCCATACATAATTTAATTAATCCAAATGCTACAAGCTTATAAAAGATAATATGAAATCATAATAACTATATACAAAACACATAAAAAAACACAGTTTTTTGAAACATATAAGTAAATAATGTAAAAATACGAATCATTACTAAGATTCAGATTAAAATACATAGTGAGTGAATATTGCACATTTATCGTTTTTTTTTTTAATTGTCAGGAGTCGCATGTAAAAAATCTCTAAACAAAGCATATTTCATGTCTCTGTGACTAAATACTAGGAAGTTTTAAGTTATAATTCAAGTTAAAATAACGAAGTTAGAAATCCATTAGCGTACAAACTTTGTCACAACACTGACGTGTTTAAAATGATCAAGTTTGTAGCGGACTGAACTTTGCTATTAACGTTTGTATAGTAAATACACTCGGTTTTGCCTGTGCAAATATATATTATATATTTTATATTTATACATTACGTAATTTTATTTAATAGTGTAAAATAGATAAGATAGAAAAACATTATTCATTTGTTTTACCACCAATGTGAAGAATGCAGCGGGGCATGCCAGATTGGGGTATGGTATTTGACGTGGTGTACGATCGGTGTGTGTACGATT